TTTTTTTTTTATGCCGAAGAATTGGTACAGTACTGAACACCATTTATGTATACTGATGACTTTCCAGTGAAACATTGTTGTAAGCTTATGCTTAACGATAATATTGCGCATAAATTGTTTCTGTAAAAATTTTGGAAGAAAAATTTTTGATAAACAAAATAATTTTTTGTAATAATGCATAAGTTTTGGAGAAGAATAAATAACGGTTGAGGCTACAAGTGTCTGTATATACACCTCCGTTATCGTCATTGCAGAGGGATAAATTATTGGAGCGTTAATTGAGTTTTTAATTCCACAAAAATTGATTTCTTTTCAATTTACCATTTTAGTAATTTACTGCGACTATCGGTTGTAATTTCCGCTAAATATTTTCAATAAAATTCAAAAAAAAAAAAAAATTTTTTTTTCTACTACAGTTGTAGAAAATTTTTAAAATATAAGACTGGGTGGCATTTGAGGTTCACCTTTGCCCAGTTGTTGCAGATGCCGATGGAAAGAACGTTTGATATTCAAACGTTATTTGGAAGTCGATCGATCATACAGTTTGGTCATTGTTGTCATATCAATTAGACCGTAGCTATTGCTCTTAAGTCTTCAGATAAAGCATGAAGTACAGAAAGTACAGTCTGAAGTATGACTTCTTGTCCTGATGAGACCGTGAGAAAGAAGTGAAAAGTAGACAAATTTACAAAGTTCATTGAACAATACTGTTGACAGATTTTTTAAATACATAAATTTGTAGAAAACTTCTTTCCTTTTTTTTTTTTTTAGTTATATAACAACTGCTAAATAGCCAAAGACTTCTGATACGGCAACAAAAATGAAAACTTAAGATGTTCTCAAGTTCATTGTTCGAAGAAAAAAGTTTAATTTAGGTGGGAAAGATGACAGAAAAGGAGGGGCAGACTATAATAACAAAACAAAAGTAACAGGTAACTTTTTACAGTTGGATTGCTGTAGTGAAAACGAAACGTTTTTGGTATTATTCTATGCAAACAGTTTCTTTACTGGAAATCTAACTAGTCAAGGTGTTTCTCGATCTATATATTTAGACCTAATAGGCTGTTTTTAACTCGTCATTATTTTCTTTCTTTACTTTATCTGTCTGTGTTGTTTTTTGTATTTTGAAGTCAAAAACGAAGCTGTTTACTGCGAAACAGTAACAAAGATTTTCTCTTTTCAAATGCTGTCAATAACCTGATGAAACTCTAATTTCTTTAAGTAAGGTCGAGAAATTACTTTTTTTTTTCTTTGTTTTGTTTTGACAAAAAAGTACCTTCCGCATTATCATTCAATTCTGAAGACGTAAATAATAACAACAACAGCAACAACAACCATAAACTTCTTTTGATGATGACGGTCTACAGCATAGTGAAAGTGAAGAATTTAAGTGAATTGGTTTTTGAGGTTCAGCGACTGTGTACGTTTGTATGTGAATCTGAATGGTCATCTGGTGCTCAACATAAAAATGTTTTGTACTAAAAATACGATAAGAAGCCATCGTTGTGATATGTCATTGTTAAAGGGTCGTTTTGTTGGCAACCAACAGTGAACTGTGAACTGTGAACAGTTGTCGTCGTCGACATTACCACCGTTGCTGTAGTCCTCCGGTAAATGGAAACAGTCAATTTGGAACCACAAAAATATTCTCTGTTTGTTTAAACAATCAACAAAACCTTTTTTGGTATTTAGAAATAACAAAAATTTTTTAATTAATATATCCTCTGATAGATTCCTCTTAAAAACAGTATGTATACCGCAAAAAGGACAAATTTGTTATGGTCATCTTTAATTCAGCACTTTTTTCCCATCTTTTTTTGTTGATGTTCTTTCGAGAAGTTTTTAACCGGCACACTGTTGTTACTAACCGTATAAATATGATTCATTGAATTTTAGTTTTTATAGAAGTGGTGAAAAAAAAAAAGAATAAATACTTTCAGTTGTAGGAAAATAAAAAATTATTTCTTTTCATTTGTTTCAGTTTTTGCTCTGTCTCAATCAGTTTTTGTTCATTTATGAATAATGTTCAGAATAATTTTATACCATCTCTGTTAACTAAGATATAGTATTTGTTTTTGTTTTTTGTCAAATGATATTTGATTATTGTATTGCAAAAAAAATTTTTTCAAACTTGTACGAAGAAGATTGAATACAGTGAGTTAGTCAAAGCTATCAAAAAATACCAGCTGGACACTGATCACTGTTTTCTGTTTTGTACAACTGTTGTACCATAACGAAGGCTTTATTTACTATTACTATGCTTCAGAAAAGTAAAAGAAAGAAATAAATAATTTTGGTTTTTTTTTTTTTGAAAAATAATACCAAAAAAAAAAAAGTTGTCGAAAAAGTTTTAAGTAAACAGATTGAGGAATTTTAACAAAGAGGAGAAAAAAGACGACAGTCATTTATTTCCCATCATTTTTTGTTGAACGAAGAATCACAACGAACTGACGCATCAAAAAAAAGAAGGGTTTTGAGTTTTCTTCAATTTTTTTTGCATTTAATCTTTAGAACAGGAAATTTGAATATTTATATAACAATTTTTATTTTTATTTATTTATTTATTTATTTATTTTTTTGAACATTTACCTACAACAGTTGCTGTTATTTTTGTACTGTCTTTACTGCTTAATCGGTTGAAACATAAACGTTTAATGAAGACAGTCTTTGTGAGTGAGATCGAAATTGGATTGCTTTTCAAAACAACAACTTTTCTGATACACCAAAGTATCTGTTATACAATTTTATTATTATAGTTTCAATCTTAAACGATTAACAGCAGTGCTGTACACGTTTTCGGCGGTTATGTCGCCTATCTGTTTCTTCTAATAAGATTTGGCAAACTTAAGCAAAATTTCTTCAGCAAAATTTTTTTTTCTATGTTAAGCTTCTTCCCTAGTATTTTTGATATCTACAGAATTTTCCACCTGACTCTTATCAAATACTTCAAAAAAGCAAAATGTGTCTCTGTCGACCAATTGATTCGATCTATTAAGCCGTCATTTTTTATTTTTTGTTTTATCGTATTGCGAATTTAAATTGTGGTTTAAAGTTAGGTTTTCAAATTCATTATGTTCCCAAATTTTATTATTTGAAGTTTTTGCCAGCTCTACTCTCGAAAAGAAAGAGTGAGATTTAACTGCTTGTTTAGAAATGGTTATGAGGTTTTCGTTTTAGGGCTCAGAAGAAGACAGCCGGTATTTAGAAAACGATCGTTGTCTCAAAATAACGAATAGTCTTATTGAAGAACAACAAGGACAATAATTGAATGTATTCTGGCAAAGTGGCGTTGAACAAGGCACTTTTGTACAGCATACGGCCAAACCGAGAATAGCCACCGACCCGAGAATCGGTGGTCATCGAGGCAGCAGCAGCAGCAGCAAACGCACAAACAGGGATTCACACAGACGTCGTCGATCAAACAACGACAACAATGATGCATGCAATCTGTGAACTGTAAGCCTCCTTCACGCATATAATGAGTTTACACACACAAATACCCGGCAATCATTCCACTTTTCACAACCTATTGATCCTCTGTGAAGTACTTCAACAGCAATAAGTTTTCACCGGATTGCAATATTGTCAGGGAAAAGGCGGAAAATTTCTTTTTTAATTCAATCCTCTTTACCGAAAACTAACAACAACTTTACTTTTCACTTATATAGCTAGATAATTTTTTTTTTCAAACAACCAGTGGTTTTCTGAAATTGTAAGCAAAATTAAAAAACTTACAAAAATGAAATTTCTTTTTTTATTTAACCTATACTTTTAAAAAAATTTAATACTTATGAAAGCTGTTATTATAAGACGTTTAAACTGTTACTGAACTGACTGTAAACGTTACTATCGCAGTAAAACTTCTCATATAGGTTGATTTAACAGCAGAAAAAAGTCTTGCAGTTTTTTGTTTCTGTCAATCAAAAAACTAGCTGGAAATTTAATGCATATCAGATGCAGTGAAGCAACAGAAGTTTTTGGTTTATTTGCACAAGCAATTTTTAGAAAATTAAAACTAAGGAACTTCAACGCACAATTTCAGTTTATATTTCCGTTTTTTTTTCAGCATTAATTACAGTTTAAATAAGAGTGAGCAAAGTGCTTCGGATTTCCTACTTTTATTTTTAAACGTTTTTCAATTTCCTTTACCATAACGAGTGTTGTTTTGATAGGGTAAAATTTCATCTACAATTTTTCTGAACATCATAAAACAATGATTTTTGGCTTTTTTTTTACAGCCTAATAATACTGCTGCTCTCAGCAGTTTGGTCAGTACATTCGGCTGCATTTGGTACCGAAATTCACTGTACTCGAACGGTGGCCATCCAAGGCGAAGCAAATGAAATGGATAGTCGTGGCAAGCAGATTCGTGCTAAAAGTGTATCATCGGCCGATATGATACTGAAGGAAACCCTATGCCTGAATTTTACTGTAAGAATAGCGTTGTAATTTACACTAAGTTTTTGCCAGCTGTTATAAATGGCCCTAAAAAGTAGTTTCGGTAAAATAACTAATTCGTTTAGACTAAGGAATAGTTTTTAAAAACAAACAATTTTTTAAATTGGAAATGATTGCAGTCAATTTTGATACGGTTTTAAGGTTATGTTGGCAAAGAAATAAGAAGCAACAAAAAATTCAGTCATTTCTTAGTTCTGTTTGGAAAAAACGTAACGTTAAATTTGAAAAAAAAAAATTTTTTTTTGCAGTTAATAGATCGCTACCGTTTTGTAGTATTTTGAAAGAAATTAAGTTTCAATAAAAAGTTTAACTTTTTTAAAACGGACAACAATTATGCTATTTAAATACCAAACAAACAATATCGTTTCACTGACTTTGCTCATTGCCATTAGAAGTGTTCAATAAAGTAGAAAAAAAGAAGAAATTTAAAAGAATAAAAAGTTGAAAAGTGAAAAAATTATTGATGAAAAATTTAGTAATTTAGGAATCAAATCTGCCGCAAATGCATGCCATTGAATTTGTAAGGCTAGAACAACATTTTCCAATATCTGCTTCCTACAAATTTGGAATTCCGTTGATTACTTCGTCATGTATCTGCGACTGTGCAGGAGCTGAACAGTACTGTACTGTAGAATCTTATCGTTACAAGTCAGTCTACTTAGTAAATTGTCTAAAATTTCTAGTTATTCAGTTAACTATTATAACTGACAATTGTTTCTGTTTGCATGATAACATCTATACTGTATGACAAACTGTTTAATCTCAAAATAATAAAAAAGAATTTGCTTCTATTAAATTTAAACAAAAATTCCTTTATTGTAATTCTTCAATTAGAAAAAAATTTACTCTATTTTCTTACTTGAAAAAGTCAAAGTAATATATTTTATACATTTTTAATAAATTCGATGAGATGAGAGGTAATAACTTTTTTCTAGGAGACATGAGAAGGATTTGTAACTAGAACACTATTACCGCATAAGTGATACCTAAAAAGTTTTATATGAGGAAACCAATTTAGGAACTGTACCAAGAGTGCGGTATGTTATCGAACTTTCCATTCACATCAGTCTAACCTTGGCTGCATTAGTTCAGCACGTAGCGATGTTTGCTGTGAAGTTAGCCTTGAGCCATATAATGTAAGTGCACCAAACAGTTCTGCTCTTCAACTATTGAACAGTTTAAACATTTGTGCTTAAAGAAAATTGCATTCATGCATTTTTTTTAAAAGTTGGAGAAAATTGCCTTCTTAACTCATATTTACTGTAATGGATAACTGTCACTTGTGCTATACCATTATTTCTAATTTTTTCAAACATTATAAACACTTAAACTTTATAGAATAAGGTTTATACGGCAGTACAGCTGAATCAACCGGATACAGTCATTATATTGCGGCATCGTATCTATGAACGAATAGCAAATCGATGGGCGGAAGCAGCATCTGAAGAATTCGATGTAGTCGTCAATAAAGGATCTGCAAAAATTGAAAGTGTCGACCGACAAAAGGTGAAAACGGTTTCTGTTGAGCGCCAAGAACAGTTGATAAAAGAAATGAGGAGAATTTAGAGTACAGCTAAACAAGGTTTTTGGCATTGAAAGAAGTATTTATATATTAGTATTCACCATTACTTTGCCATAGTTTATTTAGTGCGACAAAATAAATTTAAATCTATATTAGTAAAAATACAATAATTGTTTATTACAGGTTGAGATTCGAATATCTTCAAGTCGTGTAATACGAGAAATCTATGAAGGCATGTATTACTACGCTGATGATGACAGACTGTTGATGATGGGCGTGAGACTGAATGAGGCAACAGAAAATGATATCCATAAATTGGGTTGGTTTCGGAAACAGGATGGTTTGTGGGGCGTTAGAAATGGAGTTGTTAAAATAACAGATTCTCAGGTAACAGTTGCTTATTTCAGACATTTATATATTGTTCTTTTCATTTTAAGTATCACTATTCCCAACAGAATCACAGTAGTTGAAATATTTCAAGACACTGTCAACTTTTTTCAATTAAAGAAAAAAATTTCGTAACTTTCGCGTCTCATTTTGGACGTCATTTTGCATTCAGAGTTTCGCCCGGTTACATTGGGGCTACTAGTCAACCATACTGAATTGCTTTTTACAAGAAAAAGTTAAATCGTTGTGATAACAAATCCTGTCCACAAACATAAACAGCTAATAAGTCAATAGCCTTGTAATTGTCTAACCAGGATTAATTTTTTTTAACTTCACTTAAAAACCAATGGTTTCTAATTTACTGCGGAAAATGGGATGGTTACTTTTTTAATCAACAGAATCTTTTTCTAAAGTTCTCATTTGTGACTTCCATGATTGAGGGAAATGGTAACGTACAGTTTTGTATTTAAGCCGACCTACAAAAGCACATTTGTCTTCTCCTTTCTTTTCAGCACGTTACTGTCGAGAATTGTAAAGCACAAAAGTATTTGACGCGCTATAATGCCGAATATTATATTACCGACGCAGACGACTTAGCCAGCTTAGATATGGGCTATCGAGTGGATGCTCAAGTGTGGGTTAATCGAGTTTTCGTTTCCGCAGATTCACGTTCTATACGTGTAATACATGGCGAGGGTACTGCGATACATCTGACAATCAGCAGTGAAACCAGGTAAATATAGTACTAATAGTTTTCTTTGAATTGTCATAATGTCTTTTCGCAAACTACCTAATTTTTCAATTCAAATTGGCTATACCTTTAGAGCCTTGCAAAAGTATTAGAAAATTTTTTAAATTTTTTTTTTCACTTGCTGAGTAAAAAGTTTAAAGACGATAATTTTTTCTTTTTTTATAGGCCTCTAATTGTCCAGTTCTCGTCACAAGTTCATTCATTTACTGGCGCTATTCAAATGGATGAAAAATCAAATCGATTTTTAAACTTAACTATTGAGGTATTTTAGTTTACTCTTTAAACGGCAATCATAAATTTACTGTACAGAATTTCTTCGTTGTTAGGGCAAAAAAAAGGGTTTGTAAACTAACTGATATTAAGTCTAATGAGTTTGTAATTACTACAGGTAAAAAACTGATAAATACAGTTAATTTATTAATCACCTGTTCAACCGTGTTTTAATGATTGAAGTGCCTAAATAATATCATCAAAAATGTTCTATAGACAGCAATAATTACAAGTGATAAAGTATTGCTCTTATTTACGTTTTCATTTGATAAGTAGACAGATTAGTGAGTAAAGATATTGTCTGTGATCTGTTAATAAGCATTTTTAGGGTGGTAAAGGAACATTAATTGGTTATGTTCATCAGTCAGAAGACAAATCAGTTACCGAATGGAGTTTCAGTGTTGAATTAGGTGCATCAATGAGAGCTAAATTTATGACCACTATTGGTGGGATACCGCCGGAAATCAGTTCTGACCGTTATGTTTGCATACATCCATCTGGTGACATTTTTGCTGAAATATGCAAATGGCTAAGGTAGTTGAATCTTGATAGTTTAATTTTCTTTCTAGCAGATAGCAAGAATGAGCGGTAGACAAAATTGCTAGGTATTGATGCTCAATGAATCGCTCAGTAATCTTAATTTAACGCATACCTTTAATTATACGTTTATGCAGAATATTCAAAAAATTTAACTGTTTATTTGATGAATCTATGCTTTGTCGCTGAGATATAACGATAGTTATCGCTTCTGACAACAAATAGCAGTTTCAGAATAAAAACGGTTTTGTTTTCTTTTTTTAGGTACCAATCGAGACCGTTGCGTGAACGTCATGTTGCACATCACTGGAAAACTGACGTTGGAGAATGTCCAGGTTGTAATGAAAGAGGTATTGATAACTTTATACAAAAACTTGATCCACGTCAGTGGTTTGACGGTATGAGTTCACCGACCGAAATTGCTACTTCTCTTTTAGAGGTGGCATTAATAATAGCATCATTTTTGGCTACTATATGTATCTTTAAAAACTGTATTATTCCATTGGCAAAGTGGACAATCTGCACAAAAAAACCAACGAAAAAGTAGTAAAACCCATTGCCGTTTAGTGAATGTTATTTTTGAGTCAAATGTAGTTTTTCTTTTTAAAAATTTTAAGGTTACAGTTACAGTGATCAGTCGCTATTTAGTTAGCTTACTGAATTTTGGACATGCAATAACTTTTTTCTGCCTGTTTTATGGCATACTTTGGGTATATTGAACATTAATATTTATTTATTTGCCTCTTTTCTTTCTTACATTTGCAAAGCTCTTGCCCAACGTTCTTGCAATAATCATGACATAAAAAAAGCATTTTTTTTTTTGAGAATATAAGCTTTATAAACGATTTGAAAACTGTCAACAGTTTTGGTTCATTTTATAAAGTTTAGTGGTGCTGTATCTGTTTAAGGCAGAATCTCGTCACTATTGCTCTCAGTCATTCCATCAAGTCTCTTTAGTTCTTACCTGCATTTTTGTAACATTCCAACTTCAGTCAAAATGTATCTTTGTTGTTAAAAAATCTAATATGTGTCAGAACAATCTTATTTTTACCAAATACAAATAGTTGGTTTTTCCTTAAGTGTGTTCTACCTTTGATAATTTCAAGCTTAATTTCTGTCTCTTTATGGTGCCGGTGAACTTTACATTGTTTCGCTTTTCTTCTTTTCTTCCTTATGTCATCAGAAGTAAGCAAAAGTTTGTTGCGGGTTGTTTTTTCTTTTCTTTTTTTTAGCGACCATTTTACAAAAACCTTTAAAGCAATAAGCTGAGAAATATTGTTACTTTTAAACTTAACATGGCAGCTTTTTAACGGTATTAAGCTTAAAAAGAAGCCAGTTTGATTGAATCAACCTGGTGATTCTCTTGCCAACAATCATCTGGAGTACATAAAATAAGGAAGATACGAAGTCGGTGCAAACTACGGTAATACTAAGACTTCTAGGAGTACCATCGTTTGACAGGAGGCAGCAACGATTGATCAAGTTAATTTAGACGATTTAGAGGTGAAAAAATATATTTGATTTGTTGGTTAAAAAATCAAACTTTTCTGTGATCACAGAAGTGAATATAAAAAGTCTGCAAAAACGTTCTTCATATAGATTCAATCTGATTCACTTGTCTCATCTTTTCTATATTTTATTCTTTTGCTGCTCAATGTAAAAATGCTATTTCTTGTTTCAAGTAGTTTGGAATTTTTTTTCATTTCTGACAAGGTGTCATTTCAGATTTCTCTAAAGTTACTATTCTTTTGTTTTGGCTGTTAATAAGTTGTATAAAACTGCCGTTGTAGTTGAATAAAAGTATTTAAATTAAAAGAATTCAATGTACAAGGAGAGAAAAGTTTTATACTTGAATGAAAACACTGTTTAAAACAGATAAACATAAATTTCTCAAAATTTTGCAAATTAATGTTAATTGAGAATAG